TTTTTTTTTTCCTATTTTCAGAATGGTTTTGGTCTTTAGTAATTATGGTTGTACTTCAACAAGGGAGAGGGAAGTGTTTTAAGTAGTAACACCAGAACTGAATGCAAGAAAATTAACTGACTCATTTCTCCCACTTTGAGCTTATTGCTGTGAACTTTTAAAAAACCCCACAACCAACCAACTGGAAGACCAAGTATAGCAGTCATTCCGGCATTGGATCCAGTGTCCAGCACTATTATACTCTAGCATAAAAGCAAGGAAAAGTCCAATGATCTTAGTTATGTTCCCTTCAACTCAGTGCCACACAATTTTACTAGCATTATTGTCCTTGCTTCTTTGAAAGATACCTGAAAGAAACAAAAGCACAGTTTTCCACAAAGTAAGAGGCAGGCACAAACACATCTAGTACCTTTTATTAACTCAAAGTATGAATTTGCTTTCTTTCCTCATGGGTAATCCCCCTACTGATAACCAACAATTAGAAATGTGATCAACACTACTTATGATTTTATTTGCTTTCAACATTCTTTCATTTTCATGATAGGTTATCATAGAGTTGTGTTTTGAGTTAGACTCTATTAGGTTATTTAAACAAAAGGGAGGAAGGAAATAGAAACATGGTTTATTCTAAGAGGCTGAAAATTACATCTATGGGGAAAAGTAGCTATTACACCTCTTAAGATAAAAAGTCCCATTAGAAATGGCACCCCTTCAAATGAATTCAAGACTTTAATGCACAGTCATCCAGCATAACCGGAAAAGAACAGCCCTCCTCCAGCTTCTTTAAGAGAGAAGTTACTCTAAAATGCTTGTTGTCTGATAGTTCTCTTACCACTACAGCTGGAGTAATCTGGCTGAACTGACAGCATAACTTTGTAGGGCTGGAAAGAGACAATTTCCAAGGACAATGTTCCTTCAGCAATTCTTTTCCTTTTAGGAAGCGTAGTTGCTTCGGTGAAAACAATTAGTAGTCCCGCATGCCGGGCAAGTATGAAAATAAAGGTCCATTCTCTCAAAATCTTGTAACTTTGGGGAAGCCACTCAAATACCATAGCCTTATTAAAACTCTACACAAATTAAAGGCCCTTCATAACTGTAAGTAATGCCAAAGTTCATCAGCTCAGTTGTTTCTGATCTTTGTACAGACAACATCAAGCAAAACACACTGGGGTCAGGGACAGACGTAAGAAGCAATTTCAACTTTGTTCTTACCTTTCCCAATGTTTGTGATTGAGCTCCAAAAAGTCATCTAATTTTGCTATTTCTTTGAGGTATTGAGTGAGCTTTAGAAGCTCCTTGTCTTTATCCCGATTTAAATGTGCTTTCATAAAAGGCCTTATCTGTACAAAACAAATTGGGTATAACTATCTGCTCCAAGTAAGAAAAATGCTTCCAATTCTGTCTTTTACCACCTAATTAAAAGATATTTTCACTATTACACTGAGTTATAATTTATCTTAGGTAAGATGAAGAAAAACCTTTTACACTAGTGGCCACATCCAATTTGTGCTTTTCTTCATGCAGACTGGACTGTAGGGTTTTTGTCCTGCATGCCCACAAATAAGAAATGTTTTGTCTTGCACTTCAATCTTTCCCCTCCCAGTCAAAAAGAATGATAAAATGATCTGCAGTGGGTCGCCACATTTTCTCATAGGATTTCAGAGATTATTTTTACAGGAGACATGAGGGGTTTTCAGCTCTGCTTTGAGTTGTGTGGCATCACTGGAACCAGATGAGTATTTTAGCAAAAAGCACTTGATTACAGTCATAGCTTCAGTGAAAAGAGATGTTGGAAATAAAGCTTATCTGACAACTGCTTTCAGCCTGGAATACATTATACCTGTGGCTTGTTCTAGGGATTTAATGTTCTTGTCTGCAGCTGTTAACAACATTTTGACAAACATCTTTTAAATTTGAGCTAGAGCTTTCTGGGTAATGTTCTCCCAGCAAGATCTTTGCTATTCCTGACTCTCCTAACACTGCACAGTTCCAATGATGAACTGGTTGGCAATTCTATAAAATGAAATATTTGCTGTTTTGCAGTCAAAATTAATTGTTTTCCAGAACAGAGCACTTGCTATTAGATTTGTATACTACTATAAAGTACCTCCACATGTATTTGATTGATTTTCTGAATATAACCACTCCTGAGATTGAACATCTTATATTTCAATGGTGTCTGCCAACAGTGCCCAGCTTGACCATGGCTTACAGGTATAATCTAAACAGAAACCATAATTACCTTGATTTTATTAGTCCCTTAAAAGCTAGAGCTTAGGGTTTGAAACAAAGATCATTTACTACTACTATTAGAGGAAATATTAGTGCAGACACATGGCAATCTAAACTACAAAATATTACTTTAAAATATGCATCTTTGGTAGTTGATAGCCTTTCTTTATGCTACAGCAAATTAGTATGAGAAAATACTACTTGAAGTATATGAAGTAGTAGTATTAGATGAAAATTGCAGTTAAAATTACCTTGAGCCCATTTTGTGGATTCATTAGGAAGTTTCGGCCAATATCATCAAACATAATAGTATTTTTTTTGCTGTAATACTCAGAAAACTTTCCCCAGATAACACCAAGAGGCTTCACCTGAAAAAATAACACATACAAGGTACCTGAGGTGAATCGGATCATATGCAGGAGATGAAAATATCAGTCTATAGGAACTTGAATCCAAACTCAAATGGACATTTGTACACTTTTGCTGAAAAATTAGCAGGTAGTTGGGCTTTAATAAGGGAAGAGATGTGAAATAGTATAACATACTAAATACTGCACACACTAAAGAAAACTTTTCTGTAGGCACTACATTTTATTGCAAGAATAATTATCTACTATTTGATTTGAATGCAGTGCCACCTGAATGTAATACTCAAAATAGAACACTAATAGAAAGTTTCAGTAGAAAAAAAACCAACCCATGGTTCCAAGATTCTTAGTTTTCCAGCATAAACTCCAGCATAACTTTATTGTTGAATATTGCAAAGGGGTATGACATGTCAGTTGAATGCAGAAAAAGATCAGGAAAAAACAAGTACTTACATCTATTAGTCCTCTTCTAGGGGTGTGCACTGTTATCATGGCAGCACTGTCCAACATGAAAGTTATCTTGTAGTTTGCATTGGTACTCACTCCAAGCTCCTGCATCACAAAGATTTACTATTAAAGCTTCTAATTATGGCAGTTTTACTGCCGTACAACAATCATGTAGGACCATGATTATAATACATTGTTTGTCAAAGGGTAAGCAGCTGAGGATTACCTGAGAGACACTAAAAATAGGTATCTGAGGGGGTTAAATTTTTTTTT